TTTTGAAACACACACACACACACACACACACACACAGGCATTCATTTATTTATCATTGGAGTTTTAAGAACAGATTTTATTTTAAACGTAGATCATAAAATCAAGGCTCTTGTCTTTATAAAACACTGTGGCATCGAGTGGATACTTTGGATGATCAAAAGGGGCATTCGAATGAAAAAGGAGCAGCTCACATGGCCATCCCCACAAGATAGCTCTTCATCATAGTTTTAGAGCCGTGGAAGGAATTGACGTCTTAAGCTGCCCGTCTTCATTGCTTCATGCGTGCTGGCGTTAGATGCCATCAGATCACTTTGGGCTCATATGAATAAATGCCACCTGGCCCCCTGTCAACGCTTGGAGCCATTACTGTATGTGTTCAGCTCCACTTACCGCCCGCCCTGCAACAACCCCATTTCCGTTTCTTATTTTTAGAGAGGCATGAAGTTTTGAGCCTACTAGAGGATTATGTGGTGTACGTGGGTGACGCAAATGCGCTGTTGGTTTCTGACTCACAGTGACCCTGTGCGCAGCCGAAGGAAACACGGCCTGGCCCTCTGCTGTCCACACACTTTTTGAGCCCATTGTTGCAGCCACTGTGTTGCTCCATCTCATGGAGGGTCTTCCTCTTAGTCCCACCCCGCTTGACAAAATATGGTGTACTTCTCCCAGGGCTGGTTCCCTCCCTGCTGATCACAAACACGGCCAAAGCTCCCGAGAGGAAGGCTCACCGTCCTCACTTCTCGGAGCGTTCTGGCTGTACTTCTTCTACGGTTTATTTGTTTGTTCTGTCAGTCGATGGCATTTCTAATATTCTAAACAACACAATTCAAATGCACCAATGTGGTATTTATTATTAATTTCTGCATAAAACAAGATTGCAAATATCATGATTGGAAGCAGGTGCACATTAGGCCTCAAAATGACATTTTTTTTGTTTGCTTTTTAGCATTTTAAAAGAGGTCTTCTGCAGCGAATCTGTCCAATACAATACATTACTTAGTTTCTTGACTGCTGCTTCCATGAATGTTGATTATGGATCTAAGTAAAATGAATTTCTTGACAATTTCTATCTGCTCTCGGTTTATCGTGATGTTGTCCAACTGTGAGGAGTTTTGTTTTCTTTTCCTTTAAAAAAAAATCATTTTATTGGGGGCCCTTACAACTCTTATCACAGTCCATACATCCAACCATTGAGTGTCAACCACATTTGTATATTTGTTGCATCATTCTCAAAACATTTGCTTTCTACTTGAGCCCTTGGTATCAGCTCCTCATTTTCCCCCTCCCTCCCCGCTCCCTTCTCCCTCATGAACCCTTGATAATTTATAATTATTACTATTTTGTCATGTCTCACACTGTTTGACATCTCCCTTCACCCACTTTTCTGTTGTCCATCCCCCAGGGAGGAGGTTATATGTAGATCCCTGTAATCGGTTCCCTCTTTCTACCATACCTTCCCTCACCCTCCCTATATCACCACCCTCACCACTGGTCCTGAAGGGATCTTCTGTCCTGGATTCCCTGTGTTTTCACTTCCTATCTGTACCAGTGTACATCCTCTGGTCTAGCTGGATTGTTAAGGTAGAATTGGGATCATGATAGTGGGGGTGGGTGGTGGGAGGAAGCATTTAAGAACTAGAGGAAAGTCGTATGTTTCATTGCTGCTGCACTGCACCCGGACTGGCTCGTCTCCTTCCTGCGATCCTTCTGTAAGGGGATGTCCAGTTGCCTGCAGATGGGCTTTGGGTCCCCAATCTGCATTCCCCCTCGTTCACAATGATATGATTTTTTTGTTTTTTGATGCCTGATGCCTGATCCCTTTGACACCTTATGATCACAGAGGCTGGTGTGCATCTTCCATGTGGGCTTTGTTGCTTCTCAGCTAGATGGCCGCTTGTTTACCTTCAAGCCTTTAAGACCCCAGACGCTATATCTTTTGATAGCCGGGCACCATCAGCTTTCTTTACCACATTTGCTTATACACCCATTTTGACTTCAGCAATCATGTCTGAAAGGTGAGCATCATAGAATGCCAGGTTATTAGAACAAAATCTTCTTGCACTGAGGGAGTACTTGAGTAGAGACCCAGTGCCCGTCTGCTACCTTAATACTTAACCTATTTCTCCATCATCATATATAAATATATTTACATATGTACATGCCTGTATTTAGACCTCTATAAATGCCCCTTGCCTCCTATTTCTTTCCTCTATTTTCTTTTACTTTCCTCTTGTTCCACTATCATGCTCAACCTTCATTTGAGTTTCATTAATTCCTCTTGGTTACATTGCCCTTGATCAAGCCCTACCAGGCCTCTTACACCCTCCTTGCCACTGATTTTAGATCACTTGTTGTTCCTTTTTCCCTGGGTTGGTTAACACCACTTCTTTTGCCCCTGTCTCACCCTCTCCCATGTCCCCCCATTCTTCTGTGGGGAGAGGAAGCTGTCCATGTAGTTGGGATTGGGGCCGACCTCTCAGACCTCTCTACTGGTTCCCTGCTTCATGCTGGTATGTTGCATTCACGTCTTGGAGCACCGAGTTCAAGTCTGGTCCCTCTTTCCCTGTGGAGATATAAACCATACCTTCCCCTTTTCTTTATGTGAAAGCTTAATCCAGACTGAAGGCTATGGTCCTTGATCTCCATCAATAAATGTTTCAAGTCCTTTTTGCTTTCAGCACGCAAGATTGTATCGTGCATTCAGCAGGTTATTAATGAGCCTTCTTCCAATTCTGATATTCCATTCTTTGTCATATAGTCCAGCTTCTCTATTATTTGCTCAGCATACAGATTAAATACTTACAGTGAAAGGATATAATCCTGATGTGCAACTTGCCTGGTTTTAAACCATCCAGTATTACGTTGCTCTATTCAAACACCTGGCCCATGTAGAGGTTCTGCATGAGCAAAATGAAATCTTTTGGAATTTCCATTCTTTGCAATGTTACTGACAATTTGCTCTGATCTACACAGTCAAATGCCTGTGTATGGTCTGTGAGACCCAGGCAAGCATCTCTCTGGTGAGCATTGTGTTCAGCCAAGAGCCAGCTGACACGAGCAGTGCTCACCCTTGCTCCTTGATCTGTCTTCTGAATCTGGCCTGAATTTCTGGTGGTTCCCGGGTCGATGTGCTGCTGTAATTATTTTTTAATTACTTTCAGCAGGATGTGCCCTGTTGTCTCACTCAGTTGGATCGATTGCCTTTTGGTGGAGTGGGCACAAAGGTAGATCTCTTCTCATCAGTTGGCCAGGCGGCTGCCATCAGAACACTTCTAATGCTGCATCTCTTTGCTGAAGGACAGAAGAATGTGTATGTTTTCCCCTTTTTGGTGCTGAATTCACATATGATATGCCAGCAAGTTCAAAAAATTCATGGAACAATTCCATTATCTTTTCATTTTATTTCCCACAAACATTTTGGAGCCCCCTCATACATAATAGATAAAGGTGATATCGAACTGTGATTAGAAAATGAGGCAATCATAATCTGAAGGTGTCTTCCCTTAAAAAGATGAGAGATTCATGTGGGGCTATGGGCACCATGTTTTGAGGAGGGGCCCAAGGTTGTCATTAGTAGGCCCCTCTTACAATTACAGTTTATTCTCTGCTCAGCAGAAAATAGTTTTTGTGTCTTATGAACTATTTCGGTGCTTATACTACAGTTCTAACTTAGCAACCAGTCTCAGTGGCAGTAGAAATAATATGTGTCCTGCTGTGTTCATTGGAATTCCACTTTTTATTTCCTGGCAATTTGGGTTCGCTGATCAATTATTAATTTAAAAAAAAATCAGGTTGCTTTTTTATCTTAAAGGACCTCTTATATTACGATTCCCACGGTTGCTCTGAATTGGACCAACACTACGAGAGGCGCAGTGAAGCGTTCTTACTTCGTTCCCCTTCATGCCCATCCAGTTCATCGTCTGGTCTTTCTGGAATTGCTTCCCCTCTTCCAGCACCCGCCCCACCCCCACCCCCACCCCCAGCCCACCTCCTGGAGGCCCTGCTCTGAGTTATTGTGCTTGCTTCTCTCTCTCTGCGTTCTCGCAGTCCCAGACCGTCGCACTTACATCTGTAAGAACCGTTTTCAGATCCATTTGCATTGAACGTATACAGTTCCTCGGTCAGTCTCTTCAGTTCTAATGAATGACCACCACCTCAGGCGGTCACGCTTCAAACCACACGCAGACAAACTCGCTGCCCCCAAGTCACTTGTGACTCACTGGGCAGGGTAGATGCAGAAAGCCCGGTGACTGGGAACTGCTGACCTTGTGGTTCGCAGCCCAACTGGCCAGCGGTTCTCAACCTGTGGGTTGCAGCCCTTTAGGGGGTGGAACGATCCTTTCACGGGGGTCACCTAAGATGTTTCCGATGGTCTTAGGAACTGAGACACCGCATCTCTATCCATCTCCAGGCGGGTCCGCCCGCCTGCAGATACGCCCACCTACAAGTACCCGGTGTGGACTGTTACCCATGCTGCACCATGCTTCAAGATGAAATTTCATTGATTTGTCATTAGAAATACATATTTCGCAATATAGGATTACATACTGTTTTGTGATGGATCACTTTGCTTGAATTATGTTCAATTTGTAACAGTGAAAATACATCCTGCATATCAGATAAGTACATGATGATTCATAACAGTAGCCAGATTACAGTGATGAAGTAGCAAGGAAAGTAGTGTTATGGTTGGGGTCACCACCGCATGAGGAACTGTATGGAAGGGTCTTGGCGTGAGGAAGGTTGAGAACCACAGCCCTGAGCCACCAGGATCCTTTAAACCCGCGTTGACTTCATTGACGGAACGCTTGAGGGTACTCAGTATGGGGGTTTCATGCTTCAGCAAAAACGTGAGTCACTAAGCAAACGATAACCCACTCAGGGACATTTTTAGATTTTAATGTGCGGTGTCTGGGAAACCTTTCTCTGTTCGGTGGTTCAGTACGTTTCTTCGGGTGTGTGATCTGCGTTCCCCGTGCTCTGGCTTTGCGTCTTCGTAGGGAGGAAATCAGACCGCTACCGTGATTGCTCTGTGCTCCATGAGGGACTTCAGTCTAGCCCAGGAGACCTGCCAGCTGGCGATCCGGGACGTCGGAGGCCTGGAGGTTCTGATCAATTTACTGGATACCGACGAAGTCAAATGCAAGGTGGGTGACTGTGGAGGAAGCCTTCTTCCCCCTCCTTGGTGAAGGTCCTCCTGGCACCTGGTTTCTGCCATTCCTGACTGCCTGTTTCTTGCCTTTACCCTTGGTGTTATTCCTGGTAACCAGCCTGCTGCTTCTCCTCTTAGCTACTCTCTCTCTTCTCTCTGCTTTCCCCCCTTCTGAGACCACTTGTTCTTGCCCACTAGACTCTCAGACTTCTTGCCCAATAAATGTTTGTTTACATCTTTAAGAGGGAAAATGGAGGATATGTGGAACTCCCGAGAATGGAAACTATTTATTAGACTTTATTGGGAATTTAGGTAGAATTTTAATTTAAATATACATATAGTGATCTATCTACCATCTATCCATCTATGATCTATCTATCTCTTTCTCTACCTAGAAATTGCTAGCTATGTGTTGGGAGAAAGAGGAGGTGTTCTGCTCCCATAGAGCTGCAGTCTTGGAGACCCAAAGGGGTCAGTTCTAGCTTGTCCTGCGGGGCTGCTCTGACAGCTGTAGCTGGTCCTGCGGGGCTGCTATGACAGCTGTAGCTTGTCCTGCAGGGCTGCTCTGACAGCTGTAGCTTGTCCTGCAGGGCTGCTCTGACAGCTGTAGCTTGTCCTGCAGGGCTGCT